GTCGGGTTAACTCCCTTTTTGTCAAGCCAACCATTGTGCCTCACCTCGAGGTTCCAAGTCTGACCGAGCTAAGGCTATTTTAGGGTATCTCAGTTTCACCCTTCCGTCTCTGTTTTGTAATACTGTTTAAGACTTGTACTGTACTGTGCTAATTAGGGATTGGGTCTCGAACCTGAATGTTTGTACATATGGTGTATATATGTTTTGCTTATGAATGTGATTATGCTCGGAAAAGTCTTTTTGCATACAGACTGTCACAGCTCATTGGACTTCTTTTATTACTGATTTTGGCTTCTGTCAGCCCCTGTACTCTACTTTACTGTCTTTACTGTTAAGTAGACCTTCGGTAATCACGGATTACTGGCCAGTTACGGTGCTAAACCCATACGGGCGTGTTTGGGTCGTGACAATGAACTTGCCCCGTTTGATGTGCTAAATGTTGTTTGAAACGCGTAATCCCACCTTTAATGCAATATCCACAAAATTTGCAAATAATATGAGGCCTATGCCTTCAACTTGAGTTTCAAATTTCCAACCAATATCATCATTTGGAGGTTCATCATTGGCACCCTTTTGTCGTGGCATTTTTTAATTTGAATTCTGCATCATGGATACATTTTTTAAAATTTATTTTAAATGTTTACAAAATTATTTTTTAGCAAAACTTGAAGTAACTAAATAAACAATTTTTACATTTCTGAAATGAAATGGTTGTAAAAAAAATGCAACTTTTATTTATACATTTAGTTTTTATATGCTAATGTAATCATATAAAAATTAAAAAATAAATTATAAAGATTTTTTTTTTGAATTATTGATTTTTTTTTAAAAAAAGAAAATTTTGCCATATAAATTGTTGACACAACACATTACAATTTAACATTAAAAAAATATTTAAAATTAAATACTTAATAAAAAAAATTATAAAAAAATGCAACCATTATTTATACTTTTGGATTTTACATGCTAATGTAATTATATAAAAATTAAAAAATAAATTATAAAGATTTTTTTTTAGGTGTTAATTTTTTTTTTCTTTAAAAAAGATATTTTTTTTTTAAAAAAAAATTGTGCCTTCAACATTGTTGTCACAACACATTATAATAACAAAATAAAAAATATTTAAAATTAAATATTAAATGAAATGATTATAAAAATAATGCAACCACAATTTATACATTTGGAGTTTACATGCTCAGAGCATTTTCAGTGGTAGAAACTTGGTCTTGCGGCCCAAAATAGGAGGGGGTAGTCCCCCCTCGTCATATCTTGTTTACATATGTTGATGGCTTAGTAATTGAGCATGTTTCTCTACCCTCTCATGGCTTGATCTCAGCATGATTTTGGCCTTATCTTAACATGTTATAGCTCTGATTTTGGTTGGTTGAGTCATTAGATGCTTGCCTCTTACACTTGTAATGTAATCTTACTCACTAGCCTTGTATACTTGATGAGTTAGCTTATTATTCTAGCATGTGTTGGTTTCATTCCAGCATATTTTTGGCTTTGATTTAGCATGCTTTAACTCTGTTTTGAGTGGTCTTGGTCCTTTGAGGCTTGCCTTGCATGGTTGTAGTGTAAAGG